CCCCCCCCAAAAAAAAGTTCGTATAATTCATCCTCAAATTTTATTTCTTCTGAGCTGAAAACTTAAGAATAGCGGATATCTTTTTCTTAATCTCCAGATTAATTAACCGATCGGGATTAAGAATATCCCATTCTAAAGTTTTCAGCTCAGGTGGAATAATTTTATGCTGATTTACTTTCGGTCATCTTAAAAATTCCAATTCCTCAATTTCAATTAAGAATTACTAATCCTCAGGAAAAATGCTTTTCAGATATCCTAATTCACTAAGTGCAGGTGGACACGTATAGGAACCCCATCAAGAACACCGCAGTGGAGAAGAGAGTCATAGAAAATCAACAACAAGAACTTCAACATCATTTTTTACTTAAATCATGGATGTTTTTTTGTCTAGTTACCGTCCTTACCCTTTTTTCGACTGAGAGCCTTAATTTTTCTGTTTTTGTCCAGCTACTTACCATATCCGTCGAATACAGGCATTTTGAGATTTAAAGTTAGTTCATCGTCAATATCAACGAATTAATCTGAATATTTTAATCTATTCACAATCAAAAGTCGGAATACTCTATAAGTTGTTATTTTTATCTTCGAAACTTTATTTTTCTGTTGTTGTCCAGCTATACTTACCATATTCATTGAATACAGGCCCGACATTTTGAGATTTCAGGTTCGTTCATCGTCAAAATAGACGAATTCGTCTAAACATTTTAATCTTCACTTTAAAAAGTCAGAATACGCTTTAATTTTTTATTTTTAACTTAGAGACTTAATTTTTCTGTTGTTGTTTAGCTACTTTCCATATCCTTCGAAAACAGGCCCGGCATTTTGAGATTTCAAGTTCGTCCATCGCCAAAATCGACGAAAAATAAGTTTACAAAGGATATAAAATTCAGGATATATGTATAAAAATTATATGATGACATTCTTGAATGCTGATTTTCGATGGTTCTCTTCTCCACTGCGGTGTTTTTGATGGGGTTCCTCTGCGCGTCCACATCCATATAGTTATAAGTAGGATATCTCCGAAAAGAATTTTTCCAGAGGATTAGTAATTAGGAATTTGATTTTTTAAAATAAAAGTGTTCAAACTCGTTCGACCAGAAAAGATAATACCAGAAAAATTTGATTTAAATCGAATATCGAGCATCCAGAAGAACTTTCTAGGAAGAGTCGCAAAATTTTAAGGCATATTTCCACAAACGACAAACTTACACGGCCACCAATAACGTTTTCCAATCATAATACAAAATCNGCTGTTTGTTTGTCAAGTCCGGTCCAATGCTAATATCTTTGTATTTGGTTTTAGATAAGTTCCGTGCAGATCTAAGAACTTCATCTCGGAGGTGTAGATTACGAAAGCCAACGATCATAGGTCTAGGTTTCACTTGATAGTTGATATTGTCCTTTTTCTCGCCAATTCGTACAGTATACTTAAGTAGGATATCTCCGAAAAGAATTTTTCCAGAGGATTAGTAATTAGGAATTTGATTTTTTAAAATAAAAGTGGTCAAACTCGTTCGACCAGAAAAGATAATACCAGAAAAATTTGATTTAAATCGAATATCGAGCATCCAGAAGAACTTTCTAGGAAGAGTCGCAAAATTTTAAGGCATATTTCCACAAACGACAAACTTACACGGCCACCAATAACGTTTTCCAATCATAATACAAAATCTTTCACATCTTAAAAATCGGTTAATATCAAAAGGGTGCATTTAAATACAATTAGAACAAAAAATATTATTTGATACCAACTCGATCCATTTTCAGTAACTATAAATTTTGACCTCCAGAGGAGGTCATGAATGTAGGTCATCTAAATTTTAAAATTTACAGAAATAATGTTATAATATTTTTGCTTTTCTTATCTTTTGATTTTTAAGAGAAAAAATAAGTTTCGCGGATTTTTTTTGAGCCATTGTAGTACAAATAAAAAAGTTACAATAAAATATTAATATAGCAGGAGAGTTGCACAAAAAAGGTACAATTTTGCACCAGACGCCGCTAATCACACTTTTATGTCATATCTGGTAAAAGAGCAGAAATCTAATTTCAATATTGCTTTGATTTTCTCCGGTTCGAAAGGGGGTCATTTACATACCTTGTCGAATAAGTATCTGCAAAAATAAGCAAAGTTATTGTGAATTTTTTTTCAATGTAGCATTGTTAAGAAGTTAATTTATCTCGCATTGCAGAAAGTTATAAGACACTCAACAAAAAGAAATAAATTCATATATGGAAGAAGCAATGTCGCAACACGATGATGTTTATCAAAATCGACATGTCCCTCATTACGCTGAGGAAACCCTTCATAGAGAAGAAATGATCCCTCATCAAAGAGAAGTAATCCCTCACCACAGAGAAGTGATCCATCACCACAGAGAAGTGATCCCTCACCACCGAGAAGTGATCCCTCACCACAGAGAAGTGATCCCTCACTACAGAGAAGTGATTCCTCACCAGAGAGAAGTAATCCCACATAATAGAGAAGAAATTCCGGAAGTCCACCAATTAACGATGATAATTCTTTTAATCATCCCAATACTTCTAATGTGCATCCCAATACTGCTCATGTGTATCCCTATACTGCTCATGTGCATTCCGATTCTCCTAATGTGCATTCCCATACTTTTAATGTGCATATCTCAACTGTTGGCATGTATTTACCAGATGACAGCATGGATATTTTTACTAGAGTTTGTTCTCCCTTTTCCTATGATCTTAATTCCTCTACTCTTAATTAAACAACGCACACAACTACATGTTATAATCTCATTTGTCAAAATATTATCCATCATTTAGAACTTGCACCCTGATCTGTCGTCAACAGTTATATCATCCATGGATAAAACCATCTTTTACATGTGCAAAACACAATCAATATTTACTAAAATTATTGATGTTAAATGTCAATTTACGTTTCCAAAACAACACTCATAAAAATGTGAGTGAAAAGATGTTTCATTTTATTGTTATATTTTTTGAAGATCATATCTTTTGATTCCTGAGTTTTGTACTTAAAGTATTTTTATTTCAGATAAAATGGATGAATGGCGGTTACATACTGAAAATCCTGGAAGAATGATTGAGGCACGGGATAAAATTTATATTTTAAATTTAAAAAATTCATGAGAATCTATCCATCATCTATAAACCCCCCCACACCCCTTCCTGAAATTTTTATACATGGAATCTGTCAATTTTTATGTCAAAAACATGACAAGCCGAGGGTTGGAGTGGGAAATATTTTTTATAAAATATGTTTTCAATTTGAGTGATTCATTAAAATAAAAATTAAAGGCTAGAAGGATCCTGCTCTCTTCTTTGGCGCCCTTATTTCTTTCAAAAGGGGGGGGGGCTTCCCACCTTTGCCCCACTCCCCTAAAGCCACCTTTGATTCTAGCATTTACAATTACTGGGGTAGAGGTTTAAAAAAGCAATTTAAATTTTTACTTAATCGCGTCGATGAATTTAGCTGAGTGGTTTTCTGATTAATATGCAGGGTGTCCTTAAAAATAATTTGCAATAGGGGTATTGGGTGCTGAGGGAACAATTTTCGTTTAATTTTAACAATCAAAGTGTCATTGGAATGCTCTCTATTACATTTATTTCAAGGTGTAATTTTTTTCATTCTAGATCCAATACTTTTTTGTTACAACCACAATCACCTCTTTGCATGGAGGGTCAGTTGAAATTACGCTTACAGTCGCCTAAACCGGTTTTTGGTTGAACAGTTTACTCAGAGCATTGAGTATTATTGCGCTCAGAAACATGCTTGAGCGGTATGATATGTTATGTTGGGATCATTAACTCGAAAATAAGGATATTATCTGTATTTTCGAATAGATGAAAAATTTTAAATTACATTTTTTCTTGAAGAATACTAGAATAATTTTTCCAAGAATTCTATCAATGAATTTTAATGGGATTAAGAAAAGGCTTCGAAGTTTGATTTTGTCCTGCTTAACTTGTATTTTTTTTCGCAGCGTGGAAGTTAAACAATTTAAATTTATACTTTTTTTGAAGGAGTTGAAGCAGGAGAACTCTATGTTGAAGGAGATGATGTGGAAGGTGAGTGGGGACCTGGATAACATCAGGGCGGTGATAAAACCTTTCTTAGATGAAGCACTCAATCCTTTTCGCAATCACACTCTTCGCATTTCTCGTGATAATGCGATGCTTCCGATTAGAGGTAATCATATTTGTAATTTTTTTTTAGGGTCAAAAAAGGGTTTTTACGGTTTTTAATGCTAATAGTCTTGAATGTTTGTTCCAGTAAATAATGTTTGTGTATGGGGTATTTTTCTCACATTTTTGTCCGGCGCCTTTTTCCTTTTAGATATAAGGATTAAGGATTATGGTGCTAAATATCTGTGTAGATTAAATGTTAGAGATTTTGTAGAAAAATTAAGTACAGTACTTAATTTTGTAAGCTTTTTTGAATTTTTTAAATGCTTTTTCATCACATGTAATTTATACTCCAACAAAATTAAAAAATTTAACTAAATAAAATGTAAAACTTAATGAACATTTCTGGCCTGATTTGCGGATCCGGATCAAGGAAGCCAAATTGTTGCGGATCCAACGGATCCGGATCCTAAGCACTGCCCATTTTTCCGTGTTGATATTGAATTTTGAGCGAAATTTCCAACCAGACAGTTAAAAATTTGCTTGTTGACATTTGAAATAAACTTACAAATTTCAGAGGAGGAAATACCACCGGAGTTTCGATCTATTTTCCCCCAGAACCTTGGTTCTACACCAGTTCCTCAGCAATCACATTTCAAAAGATGTAATCTGGATACGACGAGAAGACAGGATAGGGTATAACAATAACAAGTTGTAAAGTCTAAACTTACATTATTTCAAATACAGGGGTCACTCACACAGGATGAGACTTCAGGAATTTATATTCAACCTTTTTTTTTGTCAAATTTAAATGATTTAATAATATTTAAGGCCCGAGGATAAAATTAAACCAGATTGTCAAATTCAAAAGTCTCAGCCGTTGTTTTAGCCCTGTTTGTTTATTCTTTGAAATTAATTTTGTTTGTCAGTCATTTAATTTGATACCCCTGCTCCAGATTGATCAAAGAGACAGGAGTGAACCTAATCCCACAGAGCAGAATAATTTACAGCAGACAATTGATGGAGTTTCTATCCTACAGACATATCTTCGGGATTATACGCAGCAAACATATCCTGGAGTTTCTACCAAGATCACATATCATGGGGATTCTACGCAGCAGACATATTCTGGAGCTTCTACCAAGATCAGATATCCTGGGGATTCTACGCAGAAAACATATGAACCTCATGTAAGCATGAGTTCAGCCTGCAACGAATTTACGCATTTATATATTAAACCGGAACCGGAACCTGCAGTAGGAATAGAACAGAAACCTGATATTTATTCTAAGGAGTACAGCACTATGATCCATGTCCCCCTGTTTGATCATGATGCTGAAGAAGAAAGCTCATTTCCTGGTTCAAATGGCAATATCCAAGATCATTCTCCACTTCACTCACCCAGCCCCCAGCCATGCATTTCCCCCTCGCCTCTTCAAGATAATTATGCCGGACACCCGGATCCTGTTTCCTTCCAGTTTAGTGAGAATCAGAACGTAAATGCTACTGATAAACTTCGTCTTGCGGTTGAGGTAAGGTTAAAAAAACTTCCGAACAAGAGTAAAAATGCGTCACAATGTAATCAGTGCAACTTTTCATCACCATTTAATCGAGGTTTGATGAGGCATACTACAATGAAGCATGGTCCCAAATCTCTAACTAAAGCAAAACTCTCCAAAACGTCTTTAAGTAAACACGAACGAAACGAGCCTGGTGATGAATCTGAAAATGTAAAGACCTCCTCAAAAGTTGGTGAGAAATACCGTCAAGTGGTGCAGTGTAACCAGTGTGAGTACTTGACGTACACACCAGCCAGACTGTTAAAACACAAATATTTAAAGCACACTGATAAGAAGTATAAATGCAATGAGTGTTCCTTTTCATCACGCAAAAGTACTTGGTTATTGCAGCACAAACGAAAAGAACACTGTATAACCTACACCTGTGATAAATGTCCATTTACTACTCTTCGTAAAATAAAATATAACAAGCACATGAGAAGTCACGAAGCTGAAGGTTCTAGTATTACTGAGGTGGTGGATGTGAACAAATCTACCAACTGTAACTTTAAAATTGTTGAAAACCTTGATGGCAGGAAACATGAATGCAAGAAATATTATTGTAAGCAATGTGAATATTTTAATACTGATACAGAGGACTTGAGAATGCACACATTGTATAGGCATATGATTGAAAGTAGAAAAACTGAGCCTGCCAAGTTGAATCCCTTAATTTCTAGACCTTTAAAGAAATCAGCTGATCTGGCCGAAGGAGAAATATTAGTTCATAAATTAAGTTCTAATGGATTACAAAATGTTCCTAAACAGTTTTGTGATGATAACGACTTTTCTTCCACTACTGAGACTGGACTGGAGACACACAAAGCTAAAATGCATCTCAATTTGTGTATAGACGACACTATTCCGGCCGAATCACAAAAGAACATTAAAATCTACTATTGTGATTATTGTGACTTTGTCTCCAAATTTGAGGGAGGATTGAAAAGACACAAGACAAGAATACACACTGCTCCCTCTTCCACCTCAAATAAGAATAAGCTGACAAACGACACTATTCCGGCCGAATCACGAAAGAACACTAAAATCTACTTCTGTGATTATTGTGACTTGGTCTTTAAATTTGAGGGAGGATTGAAAAGACACAAGACAAGAATACACACCACTCCCTCTTCCACCTCAAATAAGAATAAGCTGACAGACGACAATATTCCAGCCGAATCACGAAAGAACACTAAAATCTACTACTGTGATTATTGTGACTTGGTCTTCAAATTTGAGGGAGGATTGAAAAGACACAAGACAAGAATACACACTGCTCTCTCTTCTTCCTCAAATAAGAATAAGCTGATAAACAAAAAGATTATAGGACATTCTGTTGAGTCAACTCAAGATAACCTGGACAAAGAATGTTCTAAGACGGAATCTCAAGATCTTCCTTCTGAGGAAGGGATATATATTTTGTAGAATGGCCCTCCCCCTAAAAAAATAGAGATAAACGCCCCCCCTTCATATTTTTTTCTTAAAAAATTCACAATTTTTCCCCTTGTAACCATTTATTTTTCCTAGTTCAGGGTTTTTCAATACGCACCAACAGTCTTTTACGAGAAAAGAAAATTATTTTTAAAGAATGGGGGGAAATGTTCTAAAGAAAATATATCCCCCTGTCCTAAGGGAAGAAAACGTGTTATGAAAGATTGTGACATGTGTGATTTTTCCGCGGACAGGAAGAGCATATTGAGAAAGCACATGAAAAAGATACATTTTCAATGTGACCAATGTGAACAGTTTGCAGCGACCAAATTTGGTTTGTACGTACATAAGAGGAAAAATCACGGTAAGGCCGTAAAACCGGTTCCTACAGACCATCTCCACGGGGAAAACAAAACACAAAAAGACTCTGTAAAATCTAAAGAGGTTGAGATTCAAGTAATCCCAGGGGATCATACAGAAGAGGAGGATCTTATCCCCAAAGGGAATATAGAAACCCCGTTCTATAATCCAGAATAAAGATTTATCTGAAATGCAATTAGAAGATCTCATGTTTAATTGGAATCTCCGCCTAATTTGAGGTGATTATTCTTCGATTTTTTTGCAATATTTTGCAAAAAGTTGCATCATGAATCTTATTTTTTATAAAACCTTCCGATCTGTCAACATTTTTGCAAAATGCAAAGTATTGAATGCTTCTTATTGTTTAGGAGNATATATATATATTTTTTAGTATCAGCGATACAGCAAATAAATACCAGAAAGGAATTACCCTTTTTTATGAAAGGAGAGACTAGATGCCATATTCCTCTCCAATTTTGGTTTATCTCTTTAACCCCCCGGCATCACAGGGGGGTCCAAAAATCAATCTCTAGGAAATGCAAAAACCCGTAATTACTATATTTCATTTAGACGAACGAAAATATCTTAATCATCAATCTCTTTAAATAGATCGACGATCCCGTACAGTATAATATTCAAAGTATGTATAACCAAAAAGTATTAACGAAAACTTACTGCCTTTCCTGATTATTAGAATTACATCATTTATCTTGAAGTCTGTAATATTTGTGTAAAATTGATGTGATATGTAAACAACATTCCCTAATTTTTTCTCTAGTTTTCATATATGTAAAGAATTATGAACATTTTGAATTTTATATTGTTTAAAGAAAATTAAGTTTTATTTAAAGAAGATTTGTGCCAAAATATAATATTTAAACGTTACTTATTGATGAATGTTTGTTTAAATGTATGTTTTTGATGAAAAGTATATTTTTTTGAGATTATTTAATATTTCTAGTTAAATTTTTTAAAGCATATTCTCTTGTGTACAGCTAATGTGATACTTTCGGATAAAAAATAAACTCTTATAGTTATTGTGAAGAACTCGGAAAATTTAATATCCACGATGGAGTATAGTCAATAAAAAGATATTATGTGAATTTTTCTGTACAGAAATGTATGTTAGAAAAAAAAAATAGATTTGTATTTGGGAGAAATTTATTTTTTAGCAAATCTTGAAATTTGTCTTTTTAAATTATCTTTCAATGCCAATTAAAATCTTTTTTTCATATTTTTTTATTCTGTTGATGCCAATCTGCATAAGCCTCATTAAACAAGTTTTATTTTAAGTTCTTAGTTTCAGAAAAATGTTAGGAGAGCTTACAGCTGGACGCGGACGGTTACGACCGACTAAGACAAGGATAACGACGGCGGACGGTCGGGTTTTTATCCAAGATGGCGATAGAATAGATCAGGTTCAGATAGGGATTGCCAGCTCTTTAGTTATACTTAATTTCTTAAAGGGACTGTAGACGTAATATCATGGTACCCGTCATCTGCAGCTAGAATAGTGTGTCCGATTAACAACAATACCCTTTAATTCTTAATTTTCCGCAGAATTGTTGAACTCGTTGAAGAAAAATTGATGGCTGAACACCTGATAGAATATTTATGAAAAATTGATGGTTGAACACCTGATATAATATTTATGAAAAATTGATGGTTGAACACCTGATATAATATTTATGAAAAATTGATGGTTGAACACCTGATATAATATTTATGAAAAATTGATGGTTGAACACCTGATATAATATTTATGAAAAATTGATGGTTGAACACCTGATATAATATTTATGAAAAATTGATGGTTGAACACCTGATATAATATTTATGAAAAATTGATGGTTGAACACCTGATATAATATTTATGAAAAATTGATGGTTGAACACCTGNGGTCATTAAAATTCAATTTGATTTTATTTTAGGAATTTCGATCACTAATTAGGCGTGCAGCCAAAAAATTGGAAGATTTGAACCAAAAATGAAGGCAGCCCCCCCCCCCCTACATCAAATGTGCCAACTCCACCATCCCCTTTATTTTTTAGCAAATCTTGAAATTTGTCTTTTTAAATTATCTTTCAATGCCAATTAAAATCTTTTTTTCATATTTTTTTATTCTGTTGATGCCAATACTGCATAAGCCTCATTAAACAAGTTTTATTTTAAGTTCTTAGTTTCAGAAAAATGTTAGGAGAGCTTACAGCTGGACGCGGACGGTTACGACCGACTAAGACAAGGATAACGACGGCGGACGGTCGGGTTTTTATCCAAGATGGCGATAGAATAGATCAGGTTCAGATAGGGATTGCCAGCTCTTTAGTTATACTTAATTTCTTAAAGGGACTGTAGACGTAATATCATGGTACCCGTCATCTGCAGCTAGAATAGTGTGTCCGATTAACAACAATACCCTTTAATTCTTAATTTTCCGCAGAATTGTTGAACTCGTTGAAGAAAAATTTATGGCTGAACACCTGATAGAATATTTATGAAAAATTGATGGTTGAACACCTGATATAATATTTATGAAAAATTGATGGTTGAACACCTGATATAATATTTATGAAAAATTGATGGTTGAACACCTGATATAATATTTATGAAAAATTGATGGTTGAACACCTGATATAATATTTATGAAAAATTGATGGTTGAACACCTGATATAATATTTATGAAAAATTGATGGTTGAACACCTGATATAATATTTATGAAAAATTGATGGTTGAACACCTGATATAATATTTATGAAAAATTGATGGTTGAACACCTGATATAATATTTATGAAAAANTTCCTTGCACAAAAAATATTTTCAGAAATATCTATGCAACAGCAACTGCCCCCCCCCTCAAGAAATATTTGTTTTACCCTGCATCTAGAAGCTAGCTTTAAGAAAATAAAATTTTTGGAGGAATAACTTTAAAGATTAATAAATTATCTCTCTCCTCTGGTCTTAAGCAAAAGCTAAAGAAAAATGTTCTAGTTACTTACTTACTTACTTGTAGAGTAATCTGCAGAGGGCCTCTAAGTTAGAACTTTTAAAGCTCTCAACATTTAAAAATTATATCAAAACTTTTTTGTCTAGATTTCAGAACATGAACCAGGGAACAGGCATTAAATCCAAATTCAAAATTATTTTTTTATTATTATTATTAATTAATATTTCAATTTTAGTATTCAATATTT